TATATATGTATATATATATGTATATATATATGTATATATATGTATGTATATGTGTATATATGTATATATATGTGTGTGTATATATATGTGTGTATATATATGTGTGTATATATATATGTGTGTATATATTATTATTATTGAGCATTATGAGCAGTTGTTTCATATTGTATAACGAAGTTATAAATCACTGTAGTATTAGATAAAAGTAAAAATGTAAGAGACATGTAGACTTTGTACTTTTGACACTGGGATGCATGCAGCCATGTTTTCTTAGTTTTCCTTATCAGTCACTACAAGCCTCCCTCCCATATGTGTCTTAACTGGGTTGCATTGTTCATGGCTATTTTAAAGTACTTCGTCTTTCATAACCTCTTGAAAATATGATGCTAAAACTTCCTTTCATAAATTGTAGCCCTGGGTTTTCGCTTTCCACAATCATTTGTTTAAATTTCTGTTTTTCTGTCTGTTCCTGTTTCCACATCAGCTGCTCTGGGCTTCCTAACTGTCTCCAGTGGAGTCACCATGTCGGCTCCCTTCCTGCTGGGTAAAGTGATTGACACCATTTACGCCACAGGAATAGACATGGAGACAATGACAGCCTCCCTGACATCATTATGTATCATGCTGATGGGAGTGTTCCTGTGTGGGGGGGGCAGCCAACGCTGCCAGAGTCTACCTCATGCAGACCTCAGGTGAGATGAAGCCACACAGGCATCATATACACAGAAAGGATCACTACACTGTACACACAGTCTTATATTTTAGTACTAAATATTCAGAAAGACTGGGGAACATGTTCCAGAGAGTTGGATGATAATATCAATACCACTCTTGTTTCTGTGTTAGATATGAAGCTAGAGCCAAGACATGGTTTGTTTAGCTTAGCAAAAAAAACTGGAGTCAGGGGAAACCGCTCGCCTAGCTCTTCACCTAGCAGCACCTCTGAGACAACATCTATGTTTGTGTACAGATGAAAATCACAGGATGTTAATTAGTAAGTGAACTGAAAGTGTCACTGCAACAGTCTCTTTTCTCTATCTTAAGTCTTTTCTCTCTTCAGGCCAACAGATTGTCCGTAATCTCCGAGCCTCCCTCTTCTCCTCCATCCTCGCACAGGAAGTGGCATTTTTTGACAGGAATAGGACCGGCGAGCTCATCAACCGCCTCTCTGCCGACACGGCCGTGGTGGGCCACTCCATCACCGACAACCTGTCGGATGGACTGAGAGCCGTCGCCCAGGCAGGTGCTGGTGTCAGCATGATGGTGAGTCCGTCCCTCAGAGCGGTTTGAATGAGGATTCAACAGGTTTCCTTCATGATGCATTTATGAATGAAATACTCTTAGGTGTGTCACAATTATTGCAAACACTCAGTCAGTCTGACTTTTAATAGCACCAATAAGGCATGTGCGTGTGTGTGTGTGGGAGGGAATTCAGTTCAAGGAAGTAGTTTGGATTTCCTTGCCATCCTTTGTTTGCTCTTTCCATTCTGTTGTGAGCTGGTATGTGAGCTGCACTCTGCTGTTTATAAACTGTTTGGGGAACAGGTTTACGATATTCATGAAGAGTAGGTTCTGTTGAACGACTTCTGAAGCTGTGTGTGTTCACAGCTGTTAATCTAAATGACATTCATCTGACTGCATTCTGTCACCACTCTCAACCTTTTGTCTAATTTATTTCATAGAGCAGAGATTTGTTGACCTTTAACTTCCTTCCCACTGTATTTTCTCAGAAAATCATAAAACATAATGCATGCTCAAGACAACCAATCTGTCCTTTACAAGGAAGTGAAATGATTCACGGGTGTAATGAACGTACAAGTGAATGGAAGTCATTGCTGTAATTACTGTCGTGTGGTTTCAACATTCTTTTGTCTCCCTCTGCTTCCTCCCTCCCCCCTCTCTTTGCCACCATTTTATTGCCATTAACTGCTGTTTTTTCCCTTCTCTCTCTGCTCTTATAGTTCTACATCTCTCCCAGTCTTGCGAGCTTTGTGTTGCTGATTGTTCCTCCTTTGACCGGTCTGGCTATAGTCTATGGCCGATACCTTCGCTCCATCTCCAAATGCACACAGGACGCACTCGCTCAAGCCACACAGGTACAGCGCACAGATAAACAAGTGTAACGGGAAGGTACGGAGGACAGAAATTAGTGGTGGCGCAGGAATCACAGGCAGAGTCAGTTCTGCAGGTTTTTAATTAAACAAACCTCAATAAACAGAAAACGTGTCTCAGTCCAGAGCTCGATCAGTAAACTATATCAGCCGGGCCGACTTACCGGGCTTAATCTTCTTCATCCCGAGGAGAAAACATTCTTCTCCTCTCTACTCCGTTTCCCTCCTTGCCTTTTGTTCCCCTCCCTGATGAGGCGATCAGGATCAGGTGTGTCTCTTCCCACAACTGATCTCAATGCTCTCCTGAAGGAGTGGGTATAGCCAACGGTTTGAACGTTGTGTAATACTTTTTAATATTTATTTGGTTCATAATCATGTTGTTGGCGGTAAGATGCCAGACGATCATCAGTGGGAATTAATAAGACATTGTTTGAGGATGTGGTTATTAACACGAGGAAGCTGTGATGAAACATGATTGCAAATTTAATATGTGAATAAACTCAGTGTCTTTGGCTTTTATATGATTTTAGTGAATCTCAATACTGAAGATGGCAGTTTATATTATTGGTTAGTGAAGCAAACTGTATGTTTATCTAATACAAACGCTGCACTGCCTGTGATAGCTTAATAAAATGTGTCAGAGTAAATTTGTTATGTGATCTGATTTACATTTGATAAACTTGTAATCAAATGGTTTGCATGTGTGTAGTTGGCAGAGGAGCGTATCAGCAACATGCGGACGGTCAGGGCATTCGGTAAAGAGCTGTCAGAAGTCAACACGTACACACAGAAGATAGACCTGGTCCTCAGCCTGGCCAGGAAGGAGGCTGCACTACGAGCTGGCTTCTTTGGAGTGGTAAGTGTGTGTGTGTGTGTGTGTGTGTGTGTGTGTGTGTGTGTGTGTGTG